AAAGAAATTCAATTAGCTCTTATAAAAAAAAAAGCTGAATTTACTGGAGAAAATCTCGAAGCGTTTCTCTCTTTCTCGAAACCGCGACTCGCAATTTTGAGAAGAGATTACGTTTAGATTTCCCTCTGCACAGCTGGAAACTCGAAAGAAAGAGAGTGATACACTTCTTAATGTCTGTAATGATCGCTTCGACCGGCCGCGGATCGGCCGCAACCGCGCGTGGAATGCAGCTATGCATCTCATTCGGCGTTCGACGTTCCCTCGGTGAAACCGGCGCGTATATACGCGTGCGTACTAGCGGATAAAGAGGTCGTCGTAAATGCTCCGACGTTAATTTGCCGTGAGTTTTGTAGGACACGGGCGAGGCGAGCCCCGAGGAAGGGGCCCTCTCGCTCATACCAAGGCGAGTTTGCAATACACACCTGTGCGTCGACGGAGTTTTGGACACACGTCGAACGGTTTCTCACTTTCAGGGTCGATGCCCTGCCGAACTTCCTCCTAATCTCGTCCCGACGTATCCTCGTGCTGTATATAAATTATTAATATAATTAGTATGCGAAATGATTATGCATAATTAAACGCGAACGAACTCGTTTGAAAAATACAAACTCCAATTATATTAGATTAATTATATTTATTTCGAAAATATGAACTAACTCTCAATTTGATATACGACTTCGTTAAAAGCTATTAATACTATAACAAGTCGAATTTCATATTTGAATTAACTTCTCTGTATTAATAGTTCAAGCTGAGTTGCAAAGTTTGACTGGTATGTTTATTTTATATTAAATTGAATATTATTAGTTTCTAGTATCTTTAGTTTAAAAATTTTATTTTCTTATTCTTCTAAAAAGAGTCGCACTTCTTCAGGAAAACTCTGATGCAATGAGAAAAATGCGATAAAATTAATATATTTTTATTTATGCAGACGCGATAGGGTAATCGAACGGTTCTTTACCCGGGTCAATGTCTTTTATCACGAGTGCTTGACAGTATTTCTCTCTCTGTATAGCGATACGGCTAAATGCCTCATACTTAAATAATATACATCGCAATTTAAATGCATGTCATGTTGTAAGCTTCCGGGATAACGTTACGAAATATATATGGTCGGAATTATTATGCTATCGACATTGAACTGACACTGAACTGTGAGGAATCGGATCGTGCGAGTGAAGCTCGCATCTTTTTTGTATTTTCTCGAGCGAGCAAGTCCGCAACTTCTATCCGATCAGGCGAATATCGCTCGTCAGAAAGAAAGTCGGGAAAGTGCATAATTGACAGTAGCTCATATCGCGAAAGTCACGCGTTGATAACCGAACGAAAGCTGCGAATGGAAATTCTATTACGAGTTGCCAAAGAGCAACTTTATTATTATTTTAGCGAGATCGGATATTAATTTCCACTCTGTTTGCGAGTTGCATTCGCATACACATTATTCCGTTCGTGACATTTCTGCTGAAAGTGAAATGATGCGCGATAACTATTTCCTTGAATGCAATGGTCCATCGTGTCTGCAATATAATACTACATTAATCTTGAATAAAATAATTAAATACACACCATACTAACTCTTCTGTCAATGCATAATTTATCATCAATGCATACTCGCGACCAAGTGCATGACATATTGTAATGTTATATTTTTTTATAGCAACTGCTCGAACATTTTTTTCATTATATTTTAGAAATTTTTGAATATAAAAATTTTTTATATTTATGCATCTGCGGGCAGAGAAAAGTTCCGATATACACTTACTCCAAAAAAGCGGTATACTTAAAATTTGGAAAATATCACCAAATTTCAAATGACGATAACTTCGTAAATAATAAAGATAGAAAGCTTTTTAAAAAATCAAAATAAAGCTTGGAGTCTCTACTTTAAGAACCTATTTATTTCAATGTTGCCAGATGAATTTATCATAAACGACGGATTACAAACCAAAAACATGCAAAATTGAAAAATAATGTCCAAGTTTGCTAAAGCACATGGCGGAAGTCAAATGTCGCAACTCAATGGGATAAAAAGCATTTAATAGAATGGAGTTTCCCCTTTAAAATGCTTTTTTATTCATCCCGATACGATGATTTTTAACCGAGATATTCGCATTTAAATAAAAAAGCTGCTTTTTACTTTAAATGCGAATATCTTGGTTAAAAATCATCGTATTGGGATGAATAAAAAAGCATTTTAAAGGGAAAAGTCTATTCTATTATATGCTTTTTATCCCATTGAGTTGCGACATTTGACTTCCGCCATGTGCTTTAGCAAACTCGGACATTATTTTTCAATTTTGCATGTTCTTGGTTTGTAATCCGTCGTTTATGATAAATTCATCTGGCAACATTGAAATAAATACATTCTTAAAGTAGAGACTCCAAGCTTTAATTTGATTTTTTAAAAAGCTTTCTATCTTTATTATTTACGAAATTATCGTCATTTGAAATTTGGTGATATTTTCCAAATTTTAAATATACCGCTTTTTTGGAGTGAGTATTTTTAACGATGATAAAAATTATGTTGACAGAAGAGTTAATTTTTATATTGTCAAGTTTGATGTTAAATCTCATCATACCTTCTTAATATCTATATGTCAATTTATATCGACTCATCGCAATTTATGTTACAGATGTTTTGCGCAAATAAAATGCATAAAAAAAAAAAAACGAAAACACGGAGCGAACAATGACGGAGCATTGCTTGAAAGCAAGGCAGTAGCCTGTGCAAATCGACGAAGCTCCCTCGGATTGCGTTTTCTGGCTTGGTAAGCAACTTAAGGATGATGGTTCCGTTTTATTTATAAACAGCCGCGCGAATAAGATTCGCTCGCGTGCGCCCAGCAAGTTGCCGGGTTGAACGCCTCGAAGTGCAGCAGACCCGATAAAACGCTAACGGAGTACACTTATCACGATGCGCTTACATTGTCGCAAAATTGTCCCCCGTCCGACTTTTTGTCCGATCGTCCTTAATGCGACTTTAGGTTGCATGTTAATTAAGAGTTGAAAATAATTACAGATCTCGCGCATGCGTTCGCTCTTCTTGCATAACTCCGGTGTCGCAGTCACGCTTGGTAAAAAGTGTTACGTCCGTTGTAATTAGAACGAGTGTTTAAAAAAAGGTGACACCACCCGAACCTCGGCAAAGGTAATTAGACGATCCTACGTCAAGATAAATATATTGTTTTAATAATTATTTACACAATGCTTTTTTTATAAATAGAGGTAAAATATTTATTTTAGAGGAAGAGTTGATATAAAATTTGTTCAACTAATTTTTTTCTAAACTTTTCGAGATGACATAAAAAATAAATAATCAAATAAAACAGGCAAGCTGTTTTTTCTTTGAAATATAGAAATCCGGTCTTGGCATAAAAATTCAACGTAAATATCTACACATCGCTGTTGTGGTCTGGCTTCTTCCTGTGTTTACGGTTGCGATAAATGACGCGGATCGCATCTCCCGATGATTTCTAATCGCCGATATAAAAAGAACGGATCTCTCTCCGAATTAGCAGCGCGAAATTTTGCGTCTCTCTTGATATCGATGCACGTAAAACGTCTCGGTGAAGCATACCGAGCGTCCATCGTCTCGCTCAATTACAACTTTCATTCAAGGTGTGCGCAAGAAAAAGAAATCCGCGTCGCCTTCGGTCGTCGTACCCGACGTGGCATGACTCTGCGTTGATCTGGCTCGACGACCTTTCCTGCGTGAGCATCGATGTCTCTTTTCGCGAGACGCCTTGCTGCAACCGCGCGCCTACTTTAATCGTTGGCGTTACAGAGAGTATTAACATTTGTGTCAACAGGAAAGACTGATCAATTAATTTTATTACTAGGAAATTTATAAAATAATTTTTATTTGAATAACTTATTTTTTTCAATCATATATATATAGAAATATATATATTTACTTCAGCATAATTTGATGATATTTCTGTGAGACTGAGATCTTTTAACTATTGCATAATAAATACTGTGTCAATTTTTTTATAACTTTAATATTACTTTACTGAAAGGAGAGAAGTTTCTGTAAATTGATACGCTCAAGTAAAAAACTATTATAAGTATCTTTACCGTGGTTTTATATAAATTCTTTAGCCATTTGTAACAGCTCTCAAGATATACGTACCTACCTACTCTCGGTAATGCGAACTTCTTGGGCTGTTTTAGCCCGATGCGATCATACCCGAGTTCTACCGGCTACGTTCACGGCCGTTTTCTCGAATAGAAAGGCTACTACCTCTTTGATTCCCTACCCTTCTACAAATATGGAATTAGCATCGGCACGGAGAGAATACAACTAGAATAAGATATTGTCCCTCAATGAGATCTTGTACAAACTGGTTTGGTCGCTATCGAGCAGTGCGGAAGTCAATTTAATAACATTTCACATGTTTAGTAAAATACTACTCAATTTTACAAATTTTAAGCTTAAATTGTGCATAATAATTTTTTTTATTTTAATAAATTGGTTGTATTTGTTCCCTGCAGGGTATAATTAAATTGGAATGATTTTAATTTTTTTCAGGATCGAAAATGTTTCAAAAATTCTTCAATCTCCGAAAGATCGTTTCTAAAGTCTCCGGAATAAATCTCTAGGCGTACTAAAAACAAATCTCTCTCTCTCTTTCTTCCTTCTCTATAACGAGTCATACTTTGTCCTGACGTCATTTTGCAGCAATCCTGCCGCCACGTGACAGGTATTTAAATGTACCGTACAGCTACCCCCGCAATGCGGCCGTGCAACAAACAATACAAGACAGCGCCAGATGCCACGCTCGGCCTTCTTCAGCATCGCGACGTCGCGACGACGTTGGAGTGTCTCCTCCACCTTTCCTTGCGCCTACGTTCACGGCTGCCTCCTTTCCTCTCTCTCTCTCTCTTTCCGTTGTCGCAGGAAAGAGAAGAGAGGGCTCTCTTTCTCAGGTAACGCGCGCCGTTCACCTGAGCGAAGAGAGAGAGAGAGTTCCCGGTTCTCTTCAGTCTCGTAGCGGCGAGCCGGAGGGAAGGAACTACGTGACCCTGAGAGGACAGTACTCGGATTTTTGCTCCGTTCTCCGCACCGTTCCATTCTTTTTCTCTCGCTGCTTTTTCGCCGCAAATTCACTCGATGCGAGACGGCGCCGTCTTCCTTCATACCATCTTCCGGCCTCGCGAACATCGCGCATCGTTATCGGCGGGCACTCGCCCACGCGTGTGAGTTCCGTTCCGTTCTGTGCAGTGACTTGGTCTCGTCGGCGGATTTTCGTGGACGGACCCTTCAGTGGTGTACATGTACCCTGGGACTAGAATCGTGAACCGTAGAACGTAGGAGAAACAAAAATGTAAGTTTTCTATCCGCCAAAAAAAATCTTACGCGGATATGACGTGACGGACGTATTCGATGCATAAAGTCGATTTTGCGTGTGCGTGCCTTTCTTTGAAAAGATACAAGCGCCACGCAGGGACCACTTGTATTATTCTGGCGAACAATATTCTCAAACGAATGCGAGATCACGGAATATCACGGATTTCACGCTGTGCGGTTGAAGGAGAGATATACCCCGCAAAGGCATAGACATTCTTAATTTATCACAGTGAGAATATAATAAAATTTAATACAATATTCTACAATAAGGTTAAAATAGACCCCACCAATGCTATAACAGACGCATTATTTAAGGTACATTTTATTTTGAAAGAGAAACAAATTATTTCTGGTAATTTATAATGTTTCGCTGTACAAATATGGCGGTATTTATATGTCTGTGACGGATGCATTGTGCAAGGCACGGACGTACGATTACACGTATAGAAATCTTTTGCGTGTTGAAATTTGCAGGACGCGATCAAACATCCACGATTTTAAGACGTCGGAGAAAAATTAATTTTTGGCGATTCGCGGTTAATTAAAAATTATTCAATAGGTATAAGAGAAAACAAAAAGCTAATTTAAGCGGAATCTGGATAAAAAAATATTGCACAACTGAAAAATTCGATCGAGTGATTACAATTGAAACAAAAATGATTATCAATTGCACTTTGATAAGGAATTATATATCTAATAAAACAAGTGGCACTTTTATTTCTATGATATATGTTAATTTAGATTCTCTTTAGATTCTCTATAAAAAATTCTTGCTGATCTTGCAATGTCTTGCAAAAAGCAATGCAAAAACATATGAATTAAAAATACTAACACAAAACTGTGCTAATTCCCTAAAGATTCATCCTGAGATAACAGAGAATTTTACTCTAGAAAATTTTCTTTATATGAATCTTTGTATGAATCTTGTATGAATGAAATGTGAGACTTATTGTTACACAGATTGTGTAATTAATTTCTCACGTTGATGTAACATTAAGTTGTACAACGAAATTTATATTTCGACAATTGCAAATGTTTATTCATATTTAAATACATTCATATGCAATCTAAGATCTAAATTCTAAATTCTTTTTAGTATTATTTACAAATAGTAGCGAAACATGAAAAGACCGCGAAATCCACTTTTTTATGAAGATTTACTGGAATTACTTTTATTTCATAGTACCTTTTTCAATATTTCGTTCCGTTGATTCCGCAGTTAATTCTTGTATCTGCAATTCGCGGATTTTCTTCTCTTCGCTTGGTGTGGTCGTCGCTGCCGGCTTCGATCCTGCGTGTAGCATAAATTTACATCGTGCAAAACCTTAGAAAATGCGCAAGTAAATGTAGAAGAGAAAGTTTCTTGCACGATGAATTTTCACGTTTTTCACTTCGTGTTCGTAAAACGCTAATGCGATGGTGAAAGAAACGAAATTGTGAGTTACGTATCTATTTGCGAGTGATTCAAAAAAATTTCATTTCCATGCATGATACAACATTTTCGTATCGTAATTAAAATTTTTATCCACGAACGCTTTGATAATCCGCTTCGTCGAGTCTGCAAAATGCGAGAAGCAACAGCCGGATTTCTCTGCTCTTTTTTTCGTACATTTTTTTGCAACTAGAGTGAACGGTTTGCTATGAAAATAATTTATTTTCGTTAAAATATGTAACATGTAACATAGGTATAAAATATCGAATTGAGAATTGCATGACATATTGCCTCATAAATATTTGCGCTAATTGCAATTTGCTTTTTGGAATTTAATTTTCTCCTTTATGAAATACGGAATAATATTGCGATTAATGATGCGTTTTATTAGAGATGATACATAGCAATCTCTTCCATTAATGCATATGAATGTATCATTGATTATATTACTATGCTTTAGAAAGTTTGCTTGCCGAAAGATTTATATAATTATTTAATTATTATTTATGTATTTATTCATATATTTGTGTTAATAGAAAAGTTAAAAACAATTTGTTATATTATGATGACCTAAAATTCTTCCATCAAAGATTATCTCCGGCATATTATAGCGGTAGAAAGAACATAAGCCAGCCTTGTAGCTCTTAACTTGGATAGGTGGGTAGGTAGGTAGGTAGCTAGGTAGGTAGGTAGGTAGATAGGCATGTATACGAGTATATATATAGATACAGATAGATAAGTATTCACACGTGATATACCAGGTACTTTAATTCCATGCCTAGAGTATTAAGGGAGTTATTTCATATTTTCTTGAATTCTTGTGTAATTATTTTAAAATATGCGCGTAAGCTGAATTTATATTGCACGCATAATTTTAATTTCACATGTCACTAAAATTGCAGAAGTAAACATATGTTTAGTTTTTTTAATTAATATCTAACTAAGTGGATTATGAAAAATTCTACGAGAAAAAAAATTACAATGAATCTTGAAGCAAAATTGTGAAAATTACAAAGCGCTCCTGTTGGGAATACATACATTTTTACTCATTTTATTAATATTTCAGTTAAATGCCTAGATGTAAGACTGATTGTTACAGTCAAATTCTCGGCTATGTTTCGCTTGACTTCGTGGCTTAACGACAAATTCACTGAAGCTATGACGCTACTTGGCTGAAGTACCGTTAACCGCCGACGGCTAAGAAAAGAAGAGCATATCGTCGTCGTGAGAAATTCCAGTCACGTAAGAGAGACTTCGATAACCGAATAAGAGTCTCGAAAAATCGCTTTGATCGACACGCACATTATAAAAAAAAAAATCCTCAAAAGCACCCATTTTCTTCGTCGCCATCGTTCTATTACGCACATAAGAACGCGTCTAAGCAATCAAGTTGATTGAATTTCTCTTACACATAGTGATTCGCATTTTTCACGAGTTCGCGATCCGCCGCACCCTCATCGGATCCCTAATTGCGCGGGCATCTCTCGCCCAGGCATTTCTCGCGCGCTGTCGGAAACGGACTCGTAATGCAGCTGCGTGCTGATTACGGCATAACCGCGGCCGCGGTGCAACTGCAACGGCCAGCCACGCCCTGAGCGGAGGCTGTAATGCGGGCTGAATGCCTTGTCCGGCTCGCATTTTCGCCCAAGACGGCGAAGAGAAGATGCAGCGCTCACGCACGTGGCTGCCATTGCCGCGCTTTTATCGGTCGACGAACCTCGCAATGAGAGATGCGAAATTGCATGCGCAGCATCACGTCATGGAGGTCATCGGGTCGCTCGTGTTCGAACGAAACGTAGAATTCCGAAAGTTTCCGCTTTGCTCATTCATTTCTACCCTGTCAAATTTCACATCCGTCTCTCTCTCTGTAATAAGTAGATGGTTTTTTAATCCTACAAAAAAATCTTGATTGCTACAAGCTCGAGATTCTTCTTCGGATAATGCTATTTTAATAACGATACATCGTACAAAATATTTATTAATAAATATATAATAAATAAATATAAATATATAATACACTCACTCCAAAAAAGCGGTACACTTAAAATTTGGAAAAAATCCCCAATTTTTAAATAACGATAACTTTGTAAATAATAGAGATAAAAAGGTTTTTAACAAATGAAAATAACGCTTGGAGTCTCTACTTTAAGATCTATTTATTTCAATGTTACGAGATAAATTTATTAAAAATGGTAAATGATAAAACGAGAATATGCAAAAATTGAAAAATAATGGTCCGAGTTTGCAAGACACATGGCGTGAGTGAAACGTTGCAACTCAATCGGATAAAAAGCATATAATAGTGCAGAGTTTTCCCTTTGAAATGCTTTTTTATTCATCTTGATATGATAATTTTTCACCGAGATATTTCCATTTAAATAAAAAGGCAGCTTTTTACTTCAAATACGAAAAACTCAGTGAAAAACCATGGTATCAACATGAATAAAAAAGCATTTGAAACGGGAAATTCTGTACTATTATATGCTTTTTATCCCATTGAGTTGCGATGAAAGTAGAGATTCCAAGATTTATTTTTAGAAATCTTTATTATTTTATAAGTTATTGTCGGTTGAAAAATGGTGACCTTTTTGCCGCTCTTTCTTTGGAGCGAGTGTACATAGATGTATATAAATATATTATATATGTTTACCTATCTAATCATCATTTTAGATGATTAAATAAATCTGATTACTAAGAGATAAATTGATGAAGCAGTTAATTAAACGACGTTTGTTTCTTTTTGAAAACGAATGTCACGTTATACTTCCTCGACGTTCACTGATTGCGTGACATTGTCGATTGTCGAGCTTTATCGGTCAGCGAACCGTGAGAACCGCACGGAAGATAACAAACATAAGGTCATTTGACGAGAAAACGCCGCGTCTCTCAAACCTCAACCCTGAAGAAGTTTCTATCGCATTCCGCCGTCACGTGTGTATCCCGCATTCAGGAAACAAACGGTACACCCACGTCAGTTTTTAATGAGGGCGATACGACAAAAAGTCACGCTCACAAAGGAGAATGACGGTTGCGTTTAATGATGTTCGTGTCCTTCGCGAAAAAGAAATGGGACACGCATCAGGGACGACAGAATCCGAAATTAAACCTTGTTAAAGCTGCGCGCATTTTATTCATTCCGCGGAATATAAAATATCAAAGATAAATTTTTTTCCGCAAAAATTAAAATAAATAAAAAATTTTTAATTAACTTCTTTTAGAGGAAATACAAAGAGTAGAGTTGGGTTACTCGTGGACCTAATAAGACATCATCTGAATAACTTAACGGTAGCCGACATCGCTAATTGGCCATGGTATACGAAGCGAAAAGCGGATGAATAGCCCATGAACATGTAAGGCAGAAATTAAACGAGATTGGGATGGAGAATTCGTTGAAAATCGTTCGCTTGCAACGGATCTCGATTATCCATCCATCGGGTTTCCTGAAATCAAGATTAATCTCGGAAATAAATCGTACTCGATTTTTCGACTTAACAATCGCAGTTATAGTGTACAAAGAATTTCGCGTAATGCGGCAACAGCAGAAG